TATCTCCGAAGGCGAAGGAACGCTCGGCCGCGAAGCAACCTGGGACGACTACCCCAACGGCCGCTGGGGCGACGCGCGCTCCCCCGCCTACGGAGAGATAGACGGCTATGGCGTCTCGCTGCACATGTCCACCAACCAAGCCGTGAAGCTCTGGGGCTACCCAACCTCCATCTCCGACATCACCGCGCTCTTTATCAAACACATCGAGGGCTCCATCCCCGCCATCCCCTGGAGCGAAGAAGGGCTCAACGAGGAAACCTCAACCATCAAAACCCAGCTCCTCGCGCTGAACCAAAAGGGTTGGTGGACCGTCGCCTCCCAACCAGCCGTCAACGGCGTGCGTTCTTCGCATGCCGTGTTCGGCTGGGGTCCTAAAAATGGCTTCTGTTTCCAAAAAGCCTTCGTAGAGCTCTTCATCCCCTCATCATCCTTCCCCTCGCTGCTCCAGAAACTAGAAGATTCTGAAGAGGTCAGCTACTACGCCAGCAACGCCAAGGGAGAATTCAAGAGCAGTGGCAATGGAGGCGCGAACGCGGTTACGTGGGGTGCGTTTCCGGGCAAGGAGATCGTGACGCCGACCATTATCGAAGAGGTCAGTTTCCGGGCGTGGGCCGAGGAGGCGTTTGGCATCTGGGCGGAGTGGGGACGGGTTTATGGGCGGGGAAGGGAAGAGAGCCGGGCTGTGGTGGAGGGGTGTATGGGGGATGTTTGGCTGGTTAATGTCATTCATCATGGATTTGTGGAGAAGGATGGGCTGTGGGAGTTATTGCTTAATTGATCAAGACTCTAGTGCATGGGTCACTCATGGCCTGTATGTAGAACGGGCGAATGGACGGTGGTAGGAGTTTGGGAGACGATTGGGTTCCGGGTCACAAAACGGCTTCGGTTACGGATGGGGAAATGGCGAATGGGATCTTTTGCGCAGTTTTCCTCGAGAGGGGTGATTTGAAAGTATATAGATTGGAATAGCATAACGGCATAAGAAATGGCATTTTACTACCACTGACTCCCTGTCCTTGTTAATCTACAACTTATAATCTGCCTGTGTTCAAATACCTCAGCAGTTAGGCCCCTAAAACCCCGAAGGACCTGTGGGTATTTTAAAAAACTATGTTCGAGGCGCTGTTAGGTACTATTACTTGCTTAGAATCTCAGCAGACTTTCCAGAGCCATTCATCCTATAGCTTCAAATTACATCACATCACATTACAAGTTCTCAAATTCAAGGAAAGACGTCTGATTCAAGTGATCTATCTGTCTAGACACTTATGCCACCTGATGTACTATCTCATTCTCCATTCTTCATTCTCTATCCATTCATTGATCGATCCATCCAGCAACCTAGTTCCTCCAATCTAAACCAGAGATGCAAATCAAAGACTCCTCACCGAGCCTTAGATGCAATCCGAAATGGTGGTGATGGTGGTCCTCGTGCTGATGGACGTGGTATCGTAAAAAGTCGTAAGGAAAGCCATTAACGCCGAGTCGAAGATCCAAGGAAATCGTGCTTTTATTGAAAGAAGGGGTTGTTGTACAATGTGTGGTGAAATTTTGGGGTTTTTCGCTGTGCTGTACTGTACTGTGCTGTAATGTTGATGGGAAAGGGGGTTGTTGAAGGCGGAGGAAACATTGATAATGCTGGGCCGATGCTAAGTCAGGCAGAATGAAGAGTCGAGCGTGCGTTGAGGTGTGTGATAGGTGTGTTGAAGAACACCATATCTCATACACTCATTGCAAGGCTTTGATCGTTCAGGCCTCGCCGTAATCTTCGGCAGCATTGTAGAAGTTATCTTGCTCGTCATGTTCATCAGCGCCAATGACCGCATATCCGTTCTGGTGACCATGGTCCTCATAACCGTTGCCATCCTCAAAGCCATCACCGTTGGAAGAAACAGGGGCATCCTCCATCTTAACCATGCGTCCCCCGTCCTCTTCCTCCTCCTCGTCCTCATCCATATCTTGGCCGGCATAACTCAAAGCCTTCGCACGACCAGTCTTGGTAACACGACCTCCTTTGACCTTGTTCAGGGTAGCCTTCTTCTTGGACGGGGTGTCGAACTCTTGCGGCTCTGAGTCATCACCATCGTCTTGGGAAGCACCCTTCTTGGCCTTGGGAGCTCGCTTGCGAGGGGTTGCCGTCTTTGGCGTCTTCGGAGTACCTTCTATGCTTATATCAGCAACTGACTTGTTACGATTCCAGTGCGGTTCTTTCTTCACGCGCTCAAAATAACCGGATACAGCCTTACCTGTGACGCCATCACCGTATTCACGAGCAATGACTATAAAAGAAGTTAGCTAATGTCCTCTTCAAAGCGTAGTGGATTTGTGAATGGATGGGGGAAAACAAAAGGAGATTTGATAAAAAGAAACAATGAAATTCTGGAGACGAGGCATGGAGTGGATGCTGAAATCAGAGTTGACGGCTGCAAATGTACCAGCTAGCATGTCAGCTGCCTCTCGCTTGATAGGACGAAAGCGGTGCTCAAGAGCACTCTTAGTTGATCCATCATCGAGGAGCCGGGCCATTTCTGCAGGACGCGTTAATATTCAACCACCAGAACTGTGCATATAATGAAATGTGCTAAGAGAAATGCCGGAAGTTCTGCTTATTCACCCTTGCCACCAATGTTGAGGTCTCGGGGATCACCGCCGGCCTCGATACAATCGCGCTGGCGCTTTGCATCCGCCTTGATGGCTCGGAACTGGAATCCAATGCCACCACCGGTGCTATCGGTACCAAAGTATGTGCTGATATCTGCCAGGAATGATTAATATCTGAGCCCAAAACAAAAATGTGTATCATGCAAAACGTGCAAGGGAAAAGTGCTCTGAATAAAAGATCAAAGTCAAAGCATCTGACCCTGACGACCCTTTCTATCATTGAAAGCGGAAATTTCGATCTTGGCAGGATCTTGGCCCGTAGCCTTCATATGACTCTGATGCTTGCCAATAGCTTTGACCCGCTCGCATATTTCAGATTTGAGTGCGCTGACTGACGTATCACTGCCCATGAGGCTCGCAATGTCTAGGAGGTCAATTGTTAGACATCCAGATGAAAGCTGTGAAATGTGCTGTGCAAAAAGAATGTGGAAATCAAAATGGTCTGACCCTTGCCAGCCTTGCTAGCCTTGGCGGACTTGCAATCGGTCAGATCAATGTCTTTTGGATCATCTCCCTGAGCTAGCATATCAAGTTGACGGGTTGTCACTGGCTTGATACGGTCATTGAACTGAAATCTGAGCCCATGCGGTGTGCAATCCGAGCCGAACACACGAGCCATCTCTGCAACAGTATTAATAAGATGACCGAAGAAGATGAGATTGTGTACGCGGTGCGAAACAAGACTGAAGAAATAATGGTCTGACTATTGCCTCCCTCAGACACAGCAGTAGGACGCTTGTCTCCACCAATTCCGAGGTTCTTGCAGTCTTCTCCTGCCGCTCGTGCCTTTTGAATCAAAGCAGCATTGGGCCGAAGAACTGTAGACATTTGGAATCTGATGGCTCCGGCTGTTGCATCCGAACCAAAGCACTTTGAAAGCTCTAGTAAAAAGTCAATACGCGCCTAAATGGGACGCAAACTCGCAAGAAGGCAATGATTGTGCTGTGAGGGAAGCCTGAGCTGAAGCGTCTAACCCATATTGCCATATATACTAGTAACATCGAGAGCCTTTGGGTCATCGCCAGCCACAACGCATTCGCGGAGAAGCTGGACGCCCGGCTTGATTCGGCGATGAAACATGACTGTGAGAGCGCCAGCTGTTGTGTCGCTACCAAAGTGCTTGGCAATTGCTGCAACCGAGATCAACACATGTTTCGGAATGAAGAAAAAAACCACCCAAGTCGAATCAAGGAAAACTTGTAGTTGAAGCGCTCAAGACTTTGAAACACAAGATCTAACCCTTTTCAGGCCCCCCTTCTTGAAGTCCAGCGGTCAAGGAAATATCCATGGGATTATCGCCCCGTTCGCGTGCTTCGGAGATGGCTTTAGTCATGGGTTTGACCTTGCCCCAGACATGGGCATAGAGTGTGTGGGATTTCATGCCGCTGTCGTAGCATTTCGTAATCTCTACAGGACTAATTAATCAAAATCCTGTGTACTGAAGTCGGCAAATCGAAGCCAAGAAAGAAAGAAAACGTGCTGTGAAGATGACTGTACGACAGAGCTCTAACCCTTGCCAGGTTTTCCGTCTCGAACATTCTCAACCATGATGACATTCGTGGTGTCTTCACCCTGCTTACGGGCTTCTAGGAAAGCCTTGGCATTGGGAACGATGTTGCGTTGAAAGTAATAGGAAATGCCATTCTTTGTACTAGTATTACCAAAGTATTGAGAAATCTCTATAGGAGGAGTCAATACTTGGCTGCCATATTCGGCAGCGGCAAACAGATACCGACAGAAGGAAAACGTGCGGTGCAGAACAGTAAATAGCAGATCCCTAACCCTTGCCAGGTTTGCCTTGTCGAACATTCTCGATGAGGACAATGTCTTTTGCATCATCACCCTTCTTGCGAGCGTCCAAAATGGCCTTTACATTAGGACTTATATCGCGCTGAAAGTGAGTTTGGAGTCCAGACTTGGTAGCATGGCTGCCATAACACAGCAAAATCTCTATGCAAGTTAACACCAGTTTCAAATCGAAAGCAGAACTCGGAATGAAAACGTGCAGTGCATAGATGATACAAGAAAGAGTATTCTAACCACCGAAAGAAAACTCCTTAAAGTCAATGTTCTGTGGATTTCCACCAGCATTAACGGTATCGGTAAGGAGCTTCACGTCCGGTCTGACAAAACGTGTAAATACATTCTATATGGACTTTATGTTTGCATCGGCGCCGTAGGATCGCGAAATCTCTAAAAGAACATCAATATGACCAGAATGATGTTCCCGGAAAGCGCCGATATCTGAGACAGAAGGAAAATGGGCAGTGCTGAACGATGTAAAGATAATCAAGTTGCCAGACCATTGGTACCCTTGCGGGGTTTCACCCAAGTGAACTCTGAACAAGGGACATCTTTTGGGTCGCCACCAGATTTGATAACACTAGCAACCTTCTGGATGTATGGCCGAATGACCTGACCGACGACGTTTGATACAGCTTTAGGTGAAGCATCTGAACCAAACCATCGTGCTATTTCTACTCGAGACATTAATATGACTTCAAGTGCTGCACCTCGCAAAAAGCCAATTATCGGAAATAAAGGCAAATTTGTAGTACGAAGGACAAAGTCAAGATCTCTCAGGATGACTTCTCCAGGGTCTCCACCAACCTGGAGGATGGCATGGATGTCTCTGATATGCAACGGCAAGCGCGTGGGGGATTTGTGTGCAATATGTTGGTGCTGAAAGAATGTAATGAAAACTGCTTGACCACGACCTTTTCCTCTGGCAGCGACTTCGCCTTGGTGGCCTTCAATTATCAGTGTGATGGGATCAATGCCTTGGGTAAGTGCATTATTGATCCTCTTAGCGTCGGTCTTGACTCTGCGCATTCTGTTCTCAATAGCCGAGTTGGTACAATCACCCCCATACCTGGCCGAGATGTCTATAGCAAATCAATAACAGAAGATGCAAAACAAGGCAAGACAGGTGCAGAGGAGCAAGAGAAAAGTGCTAGTCGCTACCTTGAGCCTTGGTTGAGGAACGAATACCAGCAACTTCAACGTTGATGGGATCCTGGCCATTATCCACAGCAGCTTTGAGAAGCTTGGCAGTCTTGGTGATCAGGGTCATTCGATCCCAGACGGCCTTGTACTTGGTACCCCCACCATAGAATCGAGAAACTTCTAATTGGAGTGATCATCAGGACGAACGCATCGGAGATGTTTAGACGGGAGACGATAGCAGCAGATGTTTGACCGAAGAAAAGTTGCAAGCAGATGAAGGATGAAATTTGGGGACTAACCGTCATAGTTGAGCTTCAATCCGGGATGAGCGGCTACTATGGCTGAGAGGAGGCGGACCGAGGATTCGTAGGTTTTCCAGTTAGGCATCTTTTCGGTTGATGCGGACGAATGACTGTATGAAAGATTCAGGTTAGCAGGAGTAAATATCTTGAAGAGGCCTGATGAAAGATGAAAGGATTTGATGCGGAGAAGAGAAGTTAAAGGTCGTGCAATGAAACAACCTTGAGATCGGATGGACAAGAAGCTTGAAGACCTTGAAAGGAGCAATTGCTTTAAAACTACAAGGTGTGTGGGAGAGACTCTTGATGAATGAAGACATATGTATCTGTTATTGTATGTTGTGGTTGAATGAATGGTGGAAGATGATTGATCTAAAAGGGAGTGGAAGGAAGAGTTGGAGGTGGAGGTGGAAAGTGGGGCCGATAGATGACAGAGCTGGGAGAAAGGAAGGTGCGAGGAAAACATGCAATGTGTAGAATTCAATCTGTGATGGGTGGCAAGGACAGATCGGAAAGTAGGTAGATCGATGTGAAGGTGAGAGAAGTGAATGGGAATATCTCGACTTGAGATACGGGAGTCACAGCAGATGAGGTTCAAACAGCAATCGATGGTGGTAGAAGGTTCATAGATGTAATTGTTGAAGCTCGAGTAGCTTACCTTGCTTGGGGTTGAAAGGATTGAGCTTTGGAGACGCTCAATTGTGACGGCAAGGTCTGGAAGAATGGGCCAAGTCAGCTGTAAGGTCAAGAAATGAGAATACCGAAGAGGTAAACTTGAATCTACCAAGAAGGCTTACTTGGGAAGCTGTTTGCAAAGTGTTGAATTGTGGTTATGTGGAAAATTCGATGCGTTGTGGTGGATGGTGAAGATGAAGGTGGGAAAGAGGAAGGAAAAAGAGCGAGAGAGGTTGGGAAAATGGAGGACTTAAATATTAGGGAAAGGAAAGAGCGGTGGCAAGCGACAATTGAGCCCGTCCTTGAGGATAAGCCATTCTGCCAAGTTACTTTTTCCTTGCCGTCTGCTGAAGGCTGTCCTTTGCAGTGAATAGCCAACAGGTTGCAGGGGTACGAATTTTGCTTGATTCTGCAACTCTTTGATCAATTCTTTACGGAGAAGAACCTGGTCAGTTTCTAGTTGCATCTTATGCCAGCGAGATCATTCTTGACATTTTCCGAGTCCATTTTCATTATCGTTGAGGCGTTCTGCTCTTTGGAGTTCGTGGTGTGAATAGCTGGTCGTTCACAAAAGCTCACAAAACCCCGAGTCGTAAGCGAACCCCAGCTCATACCCCAACTCATCGTCTGCGCAGCTTCCTTTATCCGTTTCTGCCAGCCTATGAAATTTCTTGATCGTAGTCTTCGAGGTTCGTTCCTTTTTCTCGCTCGGGTGGACTAAGATGGAGATGCGCATTTACATCCTCTACGTGAAACCATAAAGACAAGGGATGTCTGAGCTAAAGCATTGCCAGGTCTCAGGAGATAACCTCAATTCAGATAATGTTTATGGGAACCAGCTTTTAGGAATTCTATTATAGACAAATATTTTAATTTGACAAGCTGGTGGGCGCGAGAAACCTGCTCTTTGACACCCATAGTCTCCTTCTTATTCCCTTTACACAAGTCCGCTGTTAATGAGAGCGGATCTGTTCGCCGACGTAGGCCCTGCATGGCTGTACCTATAGCCATAACGACTTGTAGCCATAACGACTTGACGACTCTGATAGCAAACATCAATGCTGCACAAAGCCAAAAGCAATCAGCTTGAGCAGCAAGATCGGCGATTCCTTTACACACGCCAGTCCAATCATATCGAGTCTCCCGACATTGCAAACCCAACACCCTAATCCAAATCGATATATCAAGTCTATTATTAAAACAAATCTATCCTAATCACCTAATCGCACATCCTTTTCCCCCATCGGCGTTCTCGCCCTATTGATGCCATGCCCATGTTCTTTGATCGTGGAAGAATCCCCATCCCCATATACCCAGTACTGCACGCCCAGAAACGAATCACAGCACATCTGGAAGATACCACACAGCTTGAAAGCCCAGGGGATCTCACTGGTCGCCGTAAAGAACCAGAACATCTTCATAAAGTCACCCGCCAACCAGCTCACCAGCACGCTGATCCGGAAACCCTTGCAGGAGCGCGACTTGTAGTTGGAGATGATTTGTGGAAGAGGGAGCGTAGCTTCCACGGATAGTCCGATGTAGCCGATTGCGGCGGAGTAGAAGGCGTAGAGGGACGGCATTGGGGAGAGGACGAGTTCGCAAGCTATAAGGGAGATGAAGAGGTAGAGGAGGAATTGCCAATATCTGATTAATGTTTTATCAGTGCCCGTATTTAATAAAATGTAGAAGAGAATCATACGGTTTCGGCGACCGCCATTGCCAGAAATTGTAGGGCCTTGAGACTCCGAGTTCCCCTTCCCTGCTACCAGCAAATGGTGTAGCTGCGTCTCCCCCTTTTGACGACGGCCCTGGTCGGTGGTCCAGCGCAACCTTCAGTAATACTAGTTGAATGGCAATCATGATGAAGGACTGTATGAGAAGAGAGGTGTCGAATTTCGCCCCTGGGTAATAAAATACTCTGAGGAATATCTTGTCAGCGCAGTTCTTGTCCGGGTTCTTGTCTGCGGATGTAATTTCTACCTTAATATCGATGCAACCAGCATAATCAATGGGATGTCCAGCGAGAAGCCCGCGCTGGACTTCGCCCGATGTATTGCATACGTCTGGTCGGCATAGGAAGTGATGGGAGAAATTATGATAAATAGTGGAGCGACGATGCCCGTTATGAAGGACACGATGCCCATGATGAAGGGAAGCGGGAAGGCGTGGAAGATTTGGACCTGGAATGATTTCGTGTGTATAAATGTCCCATTTATGAAGACATGTCGTTTGTACAAGAATAGATTGTATGGATTATAGTAAATTCAAAAGGGGGTGGTGAAGAGTGAAGATTAAAGGCGCGTCTGAAATAAAGAAGCCAACATTTTTAAATTCAGTCTGCTAGCAGCAGGGCAGGGCAGGCAGGCTCGGCAGGGTAGGGCAGAGGCAGTGAGTGGGGCACGCCAAGCTTCATCTCGGATCTCGCAAAAACAGATAATCCGTGTCCCGCATCATCCCGCACCCGCATACATACCTAGACAGATTTTTGAAAATCTTCAAATGACCCCGCCATTGTGACTCTATACTCTCTACCCATGACTATCCCATGATACCAGTAGCTATGGACCATCTTACAACGCCTGGCGATTCGTGTTTCACGCCCTCCGAGGCAAAGAAGCTGAGCGAGAGGATCAACAAGCTGGGTGTCAAGGTCACCGACATTCGTGGCGTGTATTTGCACTACACGCATTTGAGGTCCGCAGACGGAGCCTTTGTTACAGTGAGTTGTTGCTATTTTTGTTGTGTTCGGGTTTACTGTACTTTTATCTGTATGGAATCTGAAATGATACAATAACGAGCCATTTCAAGACACTAGTGAAAAGTCATGGCTGCTCATAGCTTTCTCTATTATTCGACATGTCATCTCTTCCATATGGCATACAGGCTAGTCATGCAGCCCTACGACCAGCTTCCCGGATTCGTTAGACCTTCTTAGTTTGCCTCTTTTATGCATTTTATAGATCAATTGGTATCAAACAATGCTAACCTTTATCAAGGAGGCAGAAGCAAAACTTAACCAGCTTCTTCCAGGAGCCTCAGATTCCGTAAGCATACAATATGTTGCCCTTCCCATCCCAACATGGACTTAACGCTCCACTTGCATCGACTTCAAATGCGAAGCATAGCGTAATATCCTCAAAACCTAAAAGTAGAGCTAAACCCATTTCTAGGATGCATCTGCTATTCTGGCCGGCAAGCCTGGAAGTCTCTCTCAAATCTACTATGTCACACCAAGAAACATCTCCCCATGGAGCTCAAAGGCAACCATGATTGCCCAAGTCTGCGGCCTCAAGAACCAAGTCCACCGTATTGAGCGAGGACGTGCCGTCTTGGTGAACTTCGCGGAACATTTTGATAGCAAGGATGTCCCATTTAAAGATGTTCTGTAAGTTGCTCGCACTTTACTAGAAATCTATGTTACCGAACGTCAGAATGCTGGCATACGTCGAAGACCATGAATTTGGATGCAGAGTACTAACTAAGCATCTTGTAGGCATGACCGAATGACTGAAAATTTCAGCACCACGGAACCAGATTTACAGCATATGTTTGCAGAGGGCAAGCCTTTCCCGTTAGAAGTCGTTGACATATGGGCTGAAGGATCAAGCCCTCTCGAGGTGCTGAAGCTGTACAACAAGGACCGTGGACTTGCTTTAGATCAACCCGAGGTTAGTCATGCGTCTCACTGATCCTGCAATGCATGCGAAGTAAACTAACTCTTCTTAGATGGAGTACCTTGTGGAAGCTTACACACGGCTTGAGAGACCACCCTACGACATCGAACTATTCATGTTCGCTCAAGTGAACTCCGAGCATTGCCGGCATAAGCAATTCAACGCCAATTGGAGTATCGACGGTATGGGTATGGAGAAGAGTTTATTTGGGATGATTCGGAATACGCATTCCAAGAACTCTGAATTCACAGTCTCGGCATATAGCGACAATGCTGCAGTCCTCGCAGGGGAAATTGCCACCTTCTGGGCACCCGACTACTCAACCGGCCGGTGGATGATGACGAAAGAACGTGTTCATTTCCTTGCGAAAGTAGAAACACATAATCACCCAACTGCAATCTCGTAAGTCAAATCTGCCTCTAGAAAGCGAGTTCTTGGCACTTCCGAGAACTTGGTTTTCTGCTACCCAAAAGGATGCGAGGAAAGGTTTCTAATTCGTCGTACAGCCCATTTCCTGGAGCTGCCACAGGATCAGGAGGCGAAATTCGAGACGAAGGTGCCGTAGGCAGAGGTTCCCACCCCAAGGCTGGTCTTTGCGGATTCTGGGTCTCAGATCTCCTGATTCCCGATTATGAGCGGCCTTGGGAGCAGGATGTTGGAAAACCAGCACATTACGCTAGTAGTCTGGATATTATGCTTGAAGCTCCAATTGGTTCTGCCCGGTTCAACAACGAATTCGGCCGACCTTCTTTATGCGGTGTTTTCCGAACTTTCCTGGCTGATGTGGATGCCGGAGAGGATGGTCGTGAGATTCGTGGTTATCATAAGCCTATTATGGTGAGTTGAATATGCTGATGTGTGGGAGGAGTATAAAGCTATTGTTGTAAAATATTATGAGGCTAATTTATCATGCAGATTGCGGGTGGTGTTGGCACTGTCAGACCACAGCATGCTTTGAAAAGCGGGAAAGACGTCAGAGAAGGAGCTCATGTCATTGTCCTCGGCGGTCCAGCAATGCTGATTGGCCTTGGCGGTGGAGCCGCTTCAAGCAGCGCTTCTGGAGATAGCTCAGTGGAGCTCGATTTCAACAGTGTGCAGCGTGGCAATCCAGAAATGGAACGTCGGGCACAAATGGTTATTGATGCTTGTGTAGCGTTGGGGGAGAACAATCCCATTGCATTCATCCATGATGTTGGGGCTGGGGGGTTATCGAACGCGCTCCCAGAGCTTGTGAAAGATGCTGGCTACGGTGGACAATTTGAGCTCAGACAAATCGAGAGTGCTGATAGTAGCATGAGTCCTTTGCAAATTTGGTGTTGCGAGGCTCAGGAGAGATACGTGATGATTGTGAACCCGGACGGCATGAATAGATTTGTGAGCATCGCAAGTAAGTATCTTCTCCAATGCCATCGACATCATAGTCAAGCGAATTCTAACACTCATATTAGGGAGAGAACGATGTGGCTTCTCAGACGTTGGCAAAGTACTTGCTAAAGATCAAGATGGTGTTTCCAGACTCATAGTAACCGATCGAGACTCTAAGGAATACCCTCGGCCAATCGACCTGCCTATGACGACACTCTTCCCAAAAGGACGGACGCTGGAGCGAATAGTCAAGTCCCGGAAAAACAAACTCACCTTTTTCGATGCCTCGAAGACTTTATCCGAGGCATATCCTCAATTCCCAGAACAAGATTTGATCCGAAAAGCCATCGAACGAGTTTTCACAATGCCAGCTGTCGGGTCGAAGTCATTCCTTATTACTATTGGAGATCGCACAGTTGGAGGATTAACAGTTCGAGACCAGATGGTAGGTCCGTGGCAGACACCAGTTGCAGACGTGGCTGTCACGGCTACGTCGCTGAATATGGATAAACTCAAGACTGGAGAGGCGATGGCAATGGGAGAAAAGCCAACGTTGGCGCTCATCTCACCCAGTGCTTCAGCGAGGATGGCCGTTGCAGAAAGTTTGATGAACTTGGGGGCGGCACATCTTCTTGGTAGTGAGCTGAAAAAGGGGGTACTAAGGCGAGTTGCATTATCAGCGAACTGGATGGCAGCAGTGAATCACCCTGGTAAGTGAAATTATTCTTACAATACGAGTTGGCATTCGCCCAGAGCTTGCTCTTTCCCCCAGAGAAACCCGGAAAATTACTATACTGATTTGTTGGACAGGCGAGGGTGCCGCTTTGTACGAAGCAGTACATGCTATTGGTATGGAATTGTGCCCTGAGCTCGGTATTAGTATTCCTGTCGGAAAAGATTCCACGTCGATGAAGGCTTCATGGAAAGACCAAGAGACAGGAGAAGCGAAAGCGGTCATAGCGCCTATGACCGTAGTCGTTTCGGCATTCGCACCGGTGGCCGATGTCCGAGAAACATGGACGCCAGCACTTCGGAGACTCGAGGATGTTGGTGAGACCTTTCTCATATACGTGGATCTTGCTCAAGGTCACAAAGCCATGGGTGGATCTGCGCTTGCGCAAGCATTTGGCCAGCTGGGAGACGAGGCTCCAGATGTCAGAGACTCAGAGATGATTGTTGACTATTTCGACGCTTTGACTCAATTGCACGAGTCGGGCATTGTGTTGGCGTACCACGATATATCTGATGGTGGCCTAATTACTACAATTGCAGAGATGATGTTTGCTGGCAGATGCGGCGCGGAGCTTATGATTGATGGATTTACTACAAGCGCCTCGCTGCCCCACGTCCTGGAATCGATGTTCAATGAGGAATTAGGCGCCATTTTCCAAGTCCGCAAGTCGGACGAGACAAACTTCAGGAGATGCTTTGCCACATGCGGGCCTCCCCCAAGAATGATCCGAACAATCGGCCGTGTTCCTGCAGCCTCAAAACAAAAACTCTCCCTCCGTTATGGGCAGAAATCAGTTCTATCTATTGACCGCACTGAGTTACAACAGTATTGGTCCAGCACCTCCTACCAAATGCAACGTCTCAGAGACAACGTATCATGCGCAGACTCTGAGTTCGAAACACTTCGCGATGATCGCGACCCTGGCTTACACTACCGCTTGACTTTCGACCCCAAAGAAAACATACTCCCCTTCACGACAAGCATAACAAGCGCATTTTCAAGTTTATCAAGCGCTTTTGCGAAAACGCCCCGTGTTGCCATTCTTAGAGAGCAAGGCGTCAATGGTAGTGTCCCCATTCCTTTTTCAAGATGTTGAGTCCACATCCTTCCTCACTGAGCGACGCTGACCCAAAAAACTGTAGGACATGCCGAGATGGCTTTTGCTTTCAAGGTCGCCGGGTTCGACGCCATAGATCTCCACATGAGCGAGCTAATCGACGGCCGCAATTTGGACGATTTTGTCGGAATCGCCTGTTGCGGTGGCTTCTCATACGGTGACGTCTTGGGCGCTGGTCAAGGCTGGGCGAAGTCCATCCTCATGCACTCAGCTCTCCGCGCCGAATTCCAGAGATTCTTCGACCGCAAAGACACCTTCGCCCTTGGCGTCTGCAACGGCTGTCAATTGCTAACCCGACTCGCCGAACTAATTCCCGGGACCTCGAACTGGCCTCTGTTCCTCGAGAATCAGAGCGAGCAGTTCGAAGCTCGGGTCAGCATGGTCAAGATCCAGGATAATACCAGGACGCCGTCTGTGTTCTTGCATGGCATGAATGGCTCTTCACTCCCGGTTGCCGTCTCGCATGGTGAGGGACGCGCTAGCTTCAAGAAGCAGTCCGACCTGGAGTCTCTGAATGAACATGGCCTCATCCCCATCCGTTACACGGATACTCGAGGCCATGTCACGACCAAGTACCCCGCGAATCCTAACGGTAGTCCGGAGGGCATTGCAGCGGTTAGGAACCTGGACGGGAGGGTCTTGGCGCTCATGCCGCACCCCGAGCGCAGCATTATGGTTGATGTAGGCAGTTATGTGCCGAAGGAACAAGCGGAGGAGTGGGGTGAGTATGGACCTTGGGTTAGAATGTTCAGAAGTGCTAGGCGCTGGGTTGGGTGAGAAACCGCTACGTTATTATAGAATTTGGGCGCGTTGTATACACATACGTATATGCTGGCCTCTAGATAGAATTGCGGCGTTGGAAGTTGGACAGTCTATACAAATCGAATGAAAAATTGTTTAAGCTTCTTTTCATGCTTGCAATCTTGCGTTGAAATGCAAGACTGCTACCTAAAGAGCATCGCCGACAGCCCCCTCAGATCAAGTTTCACTCGCTATATACATGGAGTGCCAAAATCCCCCGTTACGTGCTTCTAAAGACCTCATTCTTGAGGTAGATACGTACACTTCATACTCTCTAGACTTCGTATCCACCAAAGTAATCATATATCCACCTCCCGAATCTTATGTCCAAACATTTCGTTCGAGGGAACACTATTCCTATCCAGTATCTTCTTCGCGGTATCCGCACCAGCAGCTGGCACTTTATATTCAAACCTTTTGCCCTTACCAGGTATCGTGCCATCGGATAACGGATACGGATAGGGCAAGTACTCGGGCATCAGACCTAGCTGGACTAATACTGAAGCCTGGTCCCACGCAATATGCTCGTGGTAGAGTCTATCACCTCGGATGTTTACCACTGATGTGAATGGGACTCTCACTGCTTTTCCAGTAGGTGGGACCCCAGGTAATCTACAGAGTAAGCAACAGTTGGTTCGCATACAGTACTGGGCGAGGAGGTGTAGAGAGGTCCACTTACAGCCAGTCGATCTCTTTGGTATGTGTAAAAGAAAAGACGAACTCGTCGATAACCCGATCAATGCCCACTGTTCTGCTCACAAGCTCCAATTCCGTATCATCGGGATTATTGAAGATGAAATGGTGCCGGTAGAAGTGTGAGAGATGCCCCCGTCCGATGCCTCCTGTCATCTACCTAGCATCAGCTGGTGCTCAAGAGTAGCATGCTAAAGGAATACCTGCCGTAGGTATGTGGTTGACATATGGCTCTTCGACCATTGTCCCCATGGTCTTCTCTACCGAACGTTCCGCAAACTCGAAATAGGTATGCTGGTCCCAAATGTCCTCTAGGTCAAAATACGGACCACCCATATGCTTTTTTAGAAACGTCAAGTTTCTCGTATGCGACACGGATTCCGAGGAATAGTGGAATAAATCATGGCCCGGGGATGCGAAATAAGGAGATGTGGTCTTGGGGTATTCGTGTATAGTGCTTCCGTTTGACTTTTGTAACTTCTCGGCCTTTCCTGCTACATGATAGAGGATTGGAATTGTAATCGTTTCAGACGTTGGTGTCGAAGCATCTGCATATACAACCGCCGCTACAATGTTCGGTTTCGAGGCTACTACTTCCTTTACTGTTTCCCAGACGGTATAACCATAGACTGTGAATCAGAAGAGTTAGAATGCATTCTTAATACCAAATCTGAGTAGATGCATTTATTTGCCTACCAAGAACTCCAATCTTGCTTCCCTCGCAAGCTGTGCACTCCTCAAACGCACTCTCCGCTACCGAGAAGGCTCTCTGGGCATCATTCACCTCTCTACATACACTGTTCTGGATCTTGACCACAGTGAAACCCTCCTCGGCCCATTTTTGTGGTGGTTCAGGGACATCAGACGTGGGTTGGAGAGATAGACTGGATGCGGTGATAAGGATGAGGGGTGGCCCGCGACCTGCGCATTTCAGGAGAGGTGGGTGGAGGACAATCCCTGTTGCTAGAGACTTCAATCCAGCTGAATCCGGAACTACGCCTTCTATTCCATAATTCGACATGTTCTATATCGTTATTGATAGTGGATGAGTTTCAGCGAATTTGTATTGTACAGTATTAAAGCAAGGTGATTCATCGAATGTGTGGACCCACAGGATAAATCTACCCCGCTACAGTACTGTATTGCCCCTTTTCTTCTTTACTCCAACCACGACCACGACGCAGCTGTTGGTGAGAATCTTTAATCCGCACTCTCAGATAGTATCTGTCTCTAGAAGCAGATGGTCCGCACAATCATCACCAGAAGCCTGTGACAAAGTACCGGTTCAACTTGAGCTACCCCTCATGTGCTCCCTCTGAAATCACCATCCTTCTTTTTCCGTTGTCTGTAGTTCAAAGGGGCATCTTTACTTAGAGCCATAGGCCTTGATCGTATTACAATGTTGTATAACGTCCAAGGCTCAGCAGCTGAAGCCGTGTCACCAGTTGGCAGAAGCAGGCCAGCCACATGCCTCTACCTAACTATGCTTCTTTATTGATGTCTTACTTCCTCTCATCATTAGCTTTTCAAAAGCCCAAGCGTACAGTAATAGCTGGACGTTATGTCTTGTGCTATTTGCGTGTCCTTTGAGGGCAATCGCATCCATGTAGGTAGCATCGCTCTTTCCGCTCAAGTTTTCAAAGTATAGTCAGTACCCGCCACGTATTTTTATAACACAAAATCAGCCTCTGATATAACAAACAAGCAGTTCTTTATCCCTATCATTATATCTACATTCTCTTTTCCCCTAATTTCCCTATAAAGGCACCCTCGAAATGTCACAGCCTCTCACCCGCTCTGCTATTTGAATCGGCGATTTCAAAATATGGCCCAGTCCTCCAAATTCACCCCTACGAGACGTACAACCTCTGCTCTGTTGAATGGTTCCTCTCTCATTGCACGCTCATCGATTCCAAAAACCCCTCCAATAACATCGTCCATCCCACACAAGCGCAACTACCTCACGTACCCAAAGAGGGCACACGCTACTACCTCAATATAGAAGAAGCCGTCAAACCTGGAGACTTCCCTGCGGCAAAGGCATATGTGAATGCTTTTTGGGTTTCAGGACAGACCTATACAGACCTTCAATTTTGGTTCTTCAATGCCTACAACGGTCACGGAACCGCCCTTTTCTCCTCCCTGCTTCTCAACAAACCAGCCCACACTGGCACAATCGACCTTTCGCCTTTGGGCGAACATGCAGGGGATTGGGAATATGCTGCGATCCGTATTGACAACCGTACGCAAGATATGATTGGTATAATGCTATCTGCTCATGGGAAAAATATATTCTACAACAAAATGACTGTGGAGAAAGAATTCAAGTTTATCCAAGGTACACAACCTTCCAAGAAAACGACTTCTACCTCGGAGAGTGGAATTATATCGTACTAGCTTCCATAATCTACCATATCACGAAAATCTGACTGCAAGATTTTGAACTCAGGCACTCATCCTGTTATCTACTCCTCCCTCAACGGCCACGCCAACTTTCCCTCTACAGGCCCAAACTACACTGAACACCGTAGAATCCTGGGTACACCCGTTTGTCTCGACTTTAACCGCCTGAACAGCACCGCAGACGGGGGGAAATCACTTGATTGCTCACAGAACTATCAGCTTGTGAACGCACCTTGGCTGAAAGAGGTATGTACCTTATCTAAGCATTTCATCTCTTTATTTTGGTATATTGGGGGTGTTTGATACCCTATGAAGTGTCACAGGAGTCTGAGATACCAAAATTTGCTGATTCTGATTCTCTGTGAAACTGAAGGTCATCAGTCCCGCTTGGGTTGGCTATCCGTATCGATGGGGACCGGAAGGTACGGCTATTCACATGGATACAAAGACACTCGGGAACTTTTTGATAGCTGCGTTGGGGGAGAAGCAGGCTGATCCGTTATTGGACACGCCGGCTGTATTGGCTGCTAGTTGGCTCTTACATGTTTTTGTTACCGCAGATATCAATGGCGCTGGGGCACCGAGCGGGCAGGGTCCCTGGAGTGGGCATTATTAAATAGGATATGACAGGAACTAGTGGTTATGGAAGTAAAATCTGGAAATTGGGAGTCAGCAATCTGCCACAGAAGAAGAGACAATAAAAGAGGTTTCCCATCTACATATCAAGTTGGAAAACCTACATGGTAACGCATTTCATCTTTTTGACATTACTCCTCCATGACATTATGCGTATGCATGCTCACACCAACAGAATTAGATGTTATACATCCTTCGAAAGTAAACACGTCCAAAACACCTAGTCAATACACGCACAATCATCCCTCCCCCCACCCCTCCTCAAACCCCTCCCCAAACTCGGACACCTCCATGCAATCTCCGGCCCACTACACTGCAGCAAAATGGCCCACAGCCTCTCAACAGTAAGTCCCAACACCGGCTCTTCAACACTATCCGGAACACTATAAACGCCATCCTCAGACCACCTCCCCATCCTCCCCTCGCCCTCCAGCATCCTCGGCAACTTATCACTCGCATGCGACCACGCATGCCCCATATCCTCATTCGTCAAGGCATCGTACAGCATCTGCCACAGATCCCTCTTCACCCCGCGCACACGCGCCGCAGAAGCGACGAACTCGTTCCCGCGCGTCACCAGCACACTCTCGCAAGTCGACGCCCCGGGACGAGCAGCAGCCCACATGGAGGGCACGAGATGGAAGGTATCGTCCCAGCCCGTGGAATCGCTACACGCGCCGCACCAGCACTCTTCCTGCTCCCCTAGATGCAGGAATCCTGTTTTGGGTTGCGCGTCCGGTAAGGGGAAGCCGGCGGGTTGGAAATAGGCGTTGAGACGTTTTGTTGTGTGAAGGAGAGGGTATTCAGAGGAAGTTGATAGGAAGAGTGTCTGCTGGGAGATGAATTCCCAGGCAAAGAGGATGTGGTGCATGAATGTTGCGGAGACGCCACCGGAATTGTGGAGGGATTGGATGGAGACGTCGCCCCTGAAGGAGCCGCGGATGGATTCAGGGGTCGCATTGGATAGGTCTGCGTCTTTGGTGTAGACTATGATGCGGGGACCGAAGGATGAGAGGGCCCGTACGGAAGTGTAGGCTGCTATGAGCTCGGTGATGGATTCGACGGGATCGCCGGGAGAATGGGCGATGATTATGTCCAAGGAGCGCGTTTGAGGCGGGCTGTACACTGTGTCGACGGAGAGCTTGTCTGGGCCGAGCCAGGTTTTGAGGTTGCGGTTGTATGCTGCTGTGTCAATCCAGTACATGGAATTGGTGCTTATTAGGACCGCAAAGACAATAGTGGTAATTGGAAGAATTACCGCGAATTGCCATGGCTCTGAATGAATTGGTTGAGGCTTTCGTCGAAAGATTCGTAAGATGAGATTCAGAAACCTTGGGGGATAATAGCCAATATGTCGTGGCCCAACGCTGACAACGTAAAGGATGGTGAAAGCAATAGCTTGATACCAGTTGATGAGATTGTGCTCGTTTCCACAAACGCCAACCAATGTAATCCAGAATCCAGTATGGAGTGTATTTCTGACGGCCTCTTTCCCCTGAATACTTGGATCCTCTAAAGCACCGCCTGCATGGTCTTGCGATAGAAATGGGTAGGCCGAGTTCATCGTTCCGGCAAAGACGACATATAAGAGAGCACCAGGTCCAATATTCATCAAGCTCCTCCAGAAAGCCCACGACTCAATGATGTGAGAAGCGGCAACCATATCCTCAAACTGCACAGTTGCATACCCGGTGATCGCTAAGGCGGGAATCCCAGTCAGGAGAACAACGTGCAAAGGTGTATCCCAAGTAGCTTGACCCTTCTCATATCGCGGGCCGATCTTTGAGATAGATCTGGCAATGCTAGTAAGACCAAGACTGGTGAGTGCAAGAAGTAGCGCTGCATCATCAAGTCGATAGTCCTCATGCACCGCAACAGCTATGCAGAAAGGTACCAGGATGACTTTCCAAAAGGACGCCCAAAAAATATCGGTTTTCTCACGCCTACTCACTCGGATGATATGCAGGAACCGCAAAATTAAGCTATCACTAACATATGTCAAGATCTATTCTCCAATCAGTAACCAACCCTCGAAGGATGGATTATTGCCTTACCGGCAGCATAGCGAAGACCCCCAAATTCTCAAACAGCATCAACGCCCCCGCACCACACAGCACTGCGACGGCCGAAATAGACGCCGACACAAATAACCTGATCCCAATCACAAGTTTCTGAAGCACCGTATACTTTCGCTCCTCACTTCCTTCATTTATAAGTCCTGGCTTCGGAAAGCTCTTGAGCTTAACGAATAACACAACGACAGCCACCGAGCAAGATGCCGTTACTTGCAAGAGCAGCACGAAAAAGAACGCTGCCATTCATTAGACAACGAGCTCGAATATAGAATCAAAACTTACGATAAGCTACAGACAGTTTTCAAAAGTCAGCTCCGTTCACGTGTTCAGGTAGACAAGGAGGAGGAGCAGGAACTTACGAAAGCCATCCCTCAATATCCTCCGCCCAGTCAGCGTAGCCGTGGTGCATAGAATAACAAACAGCGTACCCTTAAAGCTGTTCCGTCCTTCTACTTCCCCATCAGCTGGCTCCTCGTAGTCGCTGTCGTCGTTGCTGTACTCGTGGCTTGGTAGTAAGGCTTCATCCCTTCGCTCGTGCTTGAGTTTCCAGTCCATCTCTCCCTCCCCTTCTCACGAGTACAACTCAATTGCAGAACCAAAGAAGTAGCGTGTAAGTAGTATATGGTCACCTGGTCCTTTTCGTAGTGTGCGAATCATCAATTAGATTTTGCGTTTACCGCAGCGGCATATTAAAAATGTAAGAAATTTCAATGCGCAAGACTGGCTTCATCCCTTGGACAGCGCTGTTGTTCGAGTTTTAGCCCTGATTCTAAGCATACCATTGGTCGATGATTGACACGTCGATAACGGCTCGACTGAGACATGCATTAATTGAGGGCTGGAATGTTGATGCTTTTTGGGCCTTGGGGGTGGAATTGTCTCACTCTCAAGGCATAGAAAATGGAACAAATGCGCCGCGCTTGCGAAGTTCTATTGAATTGGCTCACAAATATAACCGTATTAGATGAAACTCAACATATTTTTCAATTCAAGAAATCATAGCCTTGCATATTACTCCTACATGCTACCAAGGTCCCCTGCTACAAGAACGCCAATCAAATGCATTTTATACAAGACCATTTCATTTACTTTCGTTCCGCCGGCCTTCCCCTGTCCAACAATCCGTTGATGATGATAACGCCGAAAATTGTAATCCGCTCCTTTATCCTGCGCCCCTGTTTGAACAAATGTCCCCTTCTCCGAGTACCGTTAGGCACTTTATCTTTCAACCATCTCCATCTCAAACACATGTCCATTCCGCAAAGACGCACCATCTAGCACTTCTATCCGCCAGCACTAGACCTCGCCAAACCCCCCTTTCTCCAACTTTAATGATGGTTTCCCAAGTCCCACCGTCTCCTTTCTCCAGCCCTTGGCTTGTGCTTTGGACCTTCTCTTCCTTTCTCATCAATCTCAGGACCTTGCCACCAGGAGACTGAATTGCCAATTTTGCAGGCTTCTTGGACGTATACGCACTAGACGTGCTGGGATTGGACCCTGATGCCGCTGATTCTGTTGTTGACATTGCCGAGGAGGGGCGCATGAATGGGATTGGTGAAGCCCCCCAGGATTTGATGACGATGTCGTAAGTGAAGATGGATGCTGTCGGACTGCGAAGACAAAAGTGTTATTCAAAGCAAGGCGTTGGCATTGAGGTTGTGCAACGTAGAGATCGTGGCGTTGAGCATGTGGTGTTGGATGCCGAGTCAAGAACTCATAAGCTGGATTATCCCCAGTATGAATGATAGGTAATGCAAAGGCAAGCGGATGAGGAATGTCTTTGATGGAATGCATGAGGCCACGCTTTCCAGCATAGACCTTCAACGTTCCATGTCCCTCATCACTGGGCAGCAGAGCTTTCACAGTATAGCGCTTTTGTCCTCCAATCCACTCGGCTTGAGATAGGGCACGCTTTTTGATGACGTCCCCACTTTCGAAAAAGTCACCATCTGCATCGCGTTCAAATGCTCGTGCTTCGACCTCTGCCACACATTCAATATCGGAAGGAACGGTGAACTTGATATGGATGAGTTCAAGGTCCTCAATGCGAACAAGGCTGGTATCGTAGTCGGCCATGTGAAGCGCATTCTTGAAATAGGGCGGACAAGCACATGGCAGGGCAAGTAACACTTCGAATGCCATTGGTGGGCACAAATGCTGCTGTTCATGTTGTTCCGGAATGTGAGTCCAGCATATTTCAGTCGGCCGGGTCAAGAACCACCAGCTTTCGGCTAATTGCCCCCCAGCACTTGAATACTGTCCTCGTCGGGGATTCGAAGGCGATGCAAGTGAACAATCCATCATTCTCCATTCGCCATCGACAATGACAGCATTCCAAAAATGATTCGGACGAGGCATAACCCCTAGTTCGGGGACTTCTCCGGGGGTTTTGAGGTATCCGCAGACAACTTCTGCATGAATCCCAACAGCCGCACACATCTCCAGAACGAGAACAGCCACTTCTTCTGCACAACCACGTTTCGTTTGGATGACTCTTCTGGAATCGGGGTCACTCTCGAGACCATCCTCCCAGTTAATCTTCTCACTCACCCAAGTGAAAATTGCCCTTAATCGTTGGACATCGCTTCGGTAAGGTCGGCAGACGAATCCAGTAGCCAGGCTGACAGGATTGGTCATTGGTGGGAGGCTATTGATGAATCTTGAATTTTTGTCGACGAGGGAGAGGTTGACGGCATGGAAATCTGTAGGTTCAACCACAGGGTTGCCATCAGCACCTTCGTCTCCTTCACAGCCCTCAAAGAGCTCTTCAACTGGGGATATAGCTGGATGATCCATCATCTGACATCTCTCCTTCCTCTCAACCCGTTCAATTCTGCTGAGCGTGTTTGATCGATTGACATCGCGTCGCACTTGAACCCAGTCGATGCCTCCACCTCCAAGACCCATGTCATTTGCTGCATTGCTACCATGGCCACTATGACTGTTCCCAAATCCACCCGCTATAGAAGTAACCCCATTCGACATCTTTGAAGGAAGCGCGGGCCTCGCCGTTTCACTGACAGCTATACTACTTCTTGCACTCGCAGCACCGGTCTTGGCTGATTCGATAATTTTCTTGAAAAAACCACTCTTCTTGGGCTTCGGTGCGACTAGGCCTCCAAGAATACTTCCCGACTCGTTTGTCGACGTATGCCAGCCCGATTGAGATTGAGGTCTGCTCGCTCCTGAGGCATGACTACTGTGGTATGAGACTCCCGAGGCGCTCCCGAAATCTACTTGACTGCCACTCGCACCTAAAAACTCGTCTCGTCGCGACCCAAATGCACTCCGAGATCGACCATGCAGAGCTTCCTTTCTCCTTGCCAAACTGCCAGCACTAGTTGACGAGAATCCACTAGCGGAGGGTCCACTCATGATACTCTTGTCAGTCAGTTGGGTACTTGCGCTCACATCTGTTGTAGTGCTCCTGGCGCCTGAGGAGGAGGACGTTGAATTAGTTTTCGTTGTGAGTGTTCTGCCCAGTATTGATCGACCAACCTCGTAAGCCGATTTTCGGTGACGCAGTTTTGGTTCTAACTGAGAGTTTCCTGCCATAGATTTTGGGCGGTCATATAAATTTTTGGGTGGTACGGCGGGACGGTTATCGTAGCCATCTCGCGGCCGGGGACTACTGGTGTGCATTTTATTTAACCTGTCTTCCATCCTTCGGACATAGTTACTCAACTGGGGTGGTGGTTGATCCGCTACATTCCGTGACTGAGATCCACCTATATATGGTTGTGGCACATTATCGTCGTACTCATTTTGGGCACCAAGTCCTAATGCCGTATTTGGTCTTTGGGTATCGTTTCTCTTCGCCTTTATGTAAGTCTGATCAAAAGCCTCAGGAGACCACGGGTCTAGCGGTTGGTCAGGTGTTGCCGTTTCCCGAGAAGCGCCCATATCATAAAGTGACGACATTACATCGTCCATGGCGGAGCGAAGCGGGGAAGGAGTTAGTCCGGTACCTCCAGGGGAAGGCGGACAGGGAGACGTTGCTCGTGGAGTGTGATATTCTTCTGGTCGATGATAGGAGCTCGTGGATTGATGTGGGGTGTGAATTGTACGATGCGGCGGTGGGGGAGGTGGGGGTGATGACCCAATATCAAAGTCCGCTTCTGGTGGTGTAGGTTCCCTAGAATAGGCAACATATTGGAAAGAAGGAGCGGGAGAAGGAGCCCGAGAACCGTAACTGCTATGTACTGGAGGAGCAGGAGAAGGCGCTCGAGATATATAGCTGTTGTGTCTAGGAGGAGCAGGAGAAGGCGCTCGAGACATATAACTGTTTTGTCTTGCAGGAGCAGGAGAAGGCGCTCGAGACATATAACTGTTTTGTCTCGCAGGAGCAGGAGAAGGTGCTCTTGAACCATAACTGCTGTTATGGTATGATTGTGGGGCTGGGGATGGGGCTCTCGAGCCGTAACTGGTGTGGCTGTATATTTGCGGGGCTGGAGATGGCGCTCGAGATCCATAACCAGGAATTTCAGGTGAAGGTACCCGGGGTATACCATCATGAATACTCCTAGGGTTTGTTGACGGGGCCCGAACTACTGATATGCTCTCCTGCTTCTTGATCTGCGCTCGCCTTTGAGCTGCTGCATCAGGAGCAGCATATGCCGTGAAGGGTTTCCGAAAGGCCTTGGTTTTTGTCTTCTGAGGTGGCTGAGGATTGAACGGATTCGGACTTGGGGAACGGTCTGGCATTGGGCTCGATGCTCTGCTTGCTGGCTGGAAGCTATCGTCCAAGACTTGCACAAAATTCGAAGGGAACAACCCCATCATCCTCTTATCGCGCCGTAGCCGTCCCATCCACCAACTCCCATCACCCGCGTTTAAACATTCAATAAGGTCTCCTTCCACGAAGCCAAGGTCAGATTTGTTTTCCCCACTGAAGCTATAGATAGCTTTCGTCCAGCTTGGCCAGAAGTTAGTATTGAGTTTCTAGATGTAAAAAGAGGGGGATAGGGGACAAACCAGGGAAATCGTGTAGGTAGACTGCCCGCGCTTGCCATCTTGGCGTATGAAGGAAGGTATTCCCAGCTATGTTTGGATGAGGGGCAGTTTGATGGATAGCGGGAACATTTGATATTGGTAATTCGCGCTATTCAACGCGTTCGAATTTAGCAATATGGATTGGAAGGCATGATCTGGAGGTTATGGTGCACAAACGTTGGGATTATGGAGAGTTGTGGATTGCGGAAGAGAGAGGCAGAAAAAGTGCGTACTTGGCCTTGGTACTCTGATGCCGGGCGCTACAGTACAGGTAAAGCATGAGGAAGTCGCGACTGCCAAACAACGCAGAGCTTCAGTGGTTGCCCAGCAACCGTGGTAGCATTATCGGCCCTGGAAAAACAGTTCTTCCACCTATTTCAAGGCGCTAGACAGGCTCGACAGGCACCTCGGGCTCGGGTCCGCTTTCCAGGATAAGCAGCTATCCCTGTACCTGCAGCAGAGCAGAGCCCTCCCTCGATCTTCTTGTCTGAGGTGCTGCACCTTTCACCTCAACTTGCCAACTTTAGAAATACCCATTCTATTCCATCATCTTAACAGCTGCATCTTTGCCATGCTTGCCCCTTTGGATAGCTTCACTTTGAATTCCCACACATCTTCGCGCGCAAAGTCTACGTGAAACCTAGCACGGACCACTTTGCGATTAAAGCATCGGCAGGACTTTGTTTACTACATGGCCCGGTCACTTAGACAACAAAGTACTTGACTTAGCCATCAACTCAGCTCCTCTTCCCTTTCTTCACCACCCCAACCCAATTTTCCACCCTCCAGCATACGCAGATATGTCAATTGAAGCTGGCGCAAGCCAATACACAGTCCTCCATGAGTAATTGGACCCCTCGCCATTTCTGGAAGTTTGGAACTAACTCACGTCTACAGATTGGGGAGTGGGAGCTTCGGGACTGTTTATAAAGCTATCGACAAGACAACCGGAGAGATAGTAGCGATCAAACATGTCAGTACCTTTCAGGCTCGCCAATTGACACAAGCTGACTTGAACCAGATCGATCTAGAGTCTACCGACGAGGATATTCAGGATATTCAATCAGAGATCTCGATTCTCAGCAGCTGCACCAGCCCGTACGTTACGCAGTACAAAGCCAGTTTTCTCCGAGGCCATAAGCTATGGATTGTGATGGAGTTTTTGGGTGGGGGGTCCGGCTTGGACTTGGTAGGTTCAGCTTGGATTCTCTAGCGGGAGATATACTAACATCCTGCAGCTGAAACCCGGGAATCTTAACGAAGCCCACGTCGCAATCATATGCCGGGAATTGCTCCTCGGTTTAGAATACTTGCACCAGGAAGGAAAGATACACAGAGATGTCAAGGCTGCAAATGTATTGTTATCGACGAGCGGAAAGGTCAAACTGGCAGATTTTGGTGTTGCCACACAACTCACGAATATCAAATCGCAACGAAATACCTTTGTTGGAACTCCATACTGGATGGCTCCAGAAGTCATACAAGAGGCGGGGTATGATTACAAGGCAGATATCTGGTCTCTTGGTATAACCGCTTTGGAATTGATCAATGGGGGACCTCCACACGCGGACGTACATCCTATGAAGGTCCTGTTCCTGATTCCGAAACAATCCGCGCCTAGGCTGGAAGGCTCCCAGTATAGCAGAGATTTCAAGGACTTCATTGCGCAATGTTTAGTTAAGGATTGCGACAGACGACCTTCAGCTAAGGAGCTCTTGAGGCACAAGTTCATTCGATCTGCTGGTAAGGTCGAGGCTCTCCAAGAGCTGATCGAGAGAAGACAGTTATGGGATGGGGCAAGAGAGAGACCTTCACACCCAAAATATTATGAGGAGACATTGTCAGTTCTCAATCCCACCAAGGCCACGTCTACTGCTAACATCCACAGACATACAATGTCCCCCAAGAATGACCCAGATGAGTGGGTATTTGATACGGTCAAGAAAGCCACAGTGGCGGCTAGAAAGAATACTACAAAGCGGCGAAAGTTATCAGTCATTCATGCGAACGGCCAAGGTCTTGCTTCTGGTGCCGAGGAAGCCCTGAAGAGACTTGACATCAAGGATGCCCCCTTGGATTATTCATCACCCCCACCTGCGACAGTAATACGAGGCACTGTTCGCAGGCAGCCTTCAGTCGTCCTTGCTTCGCCGACCAAACCCCGCCAACCGAGTAGCCAGAGGCGGCCTCTTCAACCAGACATGAGCTTTGGTAATAGCGCATCCACGGTTCGCGTTTTCCGTCGGGTATCAGACAACTCTACCGCGGCTCAAGTTGACTCCGATATTTCGGTTCCTGGAACCACACGTGATGAAAACCGACCCCCTATGGCAGAAACCGTCACGAAGGACGCAATTTATGGCAGGCGTTTATTCAACAAGGTCATAGATCCTTCATTTCAAGAAGTGCATGCTCAGACTGGCAATCAGGCAAAGCGAGATGCACTTTCACGACTCGCTGATGCATGGAGTGCTCTCGATGCAATTGACCCCGAGGGGGAATATCAATTAATGAAACTCTTACTTGAGAAAGTGCAGAACGACCCGAAGCTAGCAGCACATTTATCCCCATCGAAAACCACAAGCCGAGATGGGACTCCACAAGCGTCGCCTCAAAAATCTGGAGCGAAGTTGGTTCTTGCGCAGAACAATCCTCATCTCAAGAGCCACCGACGTCGGCAATCAAGCATGTTGCCTGAAGATCCAAAGGAGAAACTTGCCAACCTTCCTGGTCAGGCAATACCGGGAATGGAGCACACGAAGCAACTCGCGGATGTTCTGTATGGACGCTGGGCAGGTGGATTACGCAACCGCTGGCCAGGTGCCTGAACACCCTCATCATTTCTCGGCGCATACACGTGTAAAACTACCTTTGCGGGAGTTGTCCAAAACGCTTCTAGTCTATTCTCGATTTGCATAAATATGGTATACAATCACATAGACGGAAGTAGAAGTGGGGGTGGAGGTGGTTTGGCACTTCGCCTGCTTGTTTGTAGGCCTATTTTGGGGTTCAGTGTACGAACTTTGGGATTTTCATGATTCATGATAATGTTGTTCTATTATGCTTTCTTTTTGTGCATGTGGGAGGATGTTTGTATAGTAATGCCGAGCTTATATTAGGAAACAATAATACTTGCGGTCATATTCATTTCCATTTCGTGATTTGTCTAGAAACGCTTCCTACTGACTTTCAAGCTCTTTATAATACTAAAGTTTTAGAGTGTACATCTGCCAAACAATAAGTAAAAAACAAGTTCTCGCAAGGTCTACAGTATCCTCTTACATGCGAATTTGCGGGAAGAATAGGCGAAGAGGTCCACTTTCAGCATCTCTCCTGACCTTACCACATTAGAGGGTGGATATCAGAGAATAACAATGAAGATAATATGACATGATGGCTAGCTACTACCTAGGTAGGCTAACCCAACAACAACATTACCTATTAGCCCAGGTACCCCATCAAGTGAAAACACGCGTGAGCGTTAGAAAATTCAATGAACGTCAAGACTATCACCCAGGTTATATGGCAAGACCCAAAGCATTTTAAAGTGATATGTTGCTCGAAGTTTTGCTGTCTAACCTTTAAGCGTAGCTTTCCCTCCACTTTTGGAAGCAATTTCAAAGAAAGGGGGGTGGGTCATGTGACAAGACTGGCTGTTAAAGACAACCATCGAAGATTGGAAGGCAATACGGGGAAAAGTTTAATGAATCAAGGAGAGATATCAATACAACTGAACGCAAATAGTATCTGATTCTAGTCTAAAGCGAGAGATAATACTATGATAGAGGGTGGTTATGCCTGCCTTCTCTCAGTGGATTTTGATTACGGGCCCGATATTGGTCCAAAGGTTTCATCGTCTCCAGAAATCCCTTTCAAGCAGCCACTCCAACGTTGTAAATATGTAACCTTGGCCCTTATCTCAAAAGTATCAATCAGCCTCTTAAGGATCTCACATCTATCCTGGGCTCTCCTTCTAACCCATCCTGCCACTTTAGTGTTCCTGTCTTCCTGTCCAGCCTAACCTTTCACAAGCATGCAAATATCGCCCTGGTAAGTCCAACGGATGATATACTTCAAACTGGTTGCGACGCATTTGAGGTTGACGGGTTTCTTAAAGGGGGTTGTGCAGTTATTCGCGGACAACATATCGGGTGGTAGTAGTGTGTTCTTCGGAGTTCTTGTTGCAAAAAGAAAACAAGTTCCTCGACAATCTCATGCCTCGAAATGGGTCTAGCATTGCGTTGGTGACTGCTGTGAATAGATGTAATTATGTAAAACAATACTTAGCTGAGGTCTGAGAGGATGAAGAAGAGGAAATTTGGCAGGTACACAAACTGTTCCAAGCGATCTGCGAAGAACCTGTGCTCCAACAATATTGGCTTCAACATCGGCGAATCCTAATGGGGTGGAGCCCATTGCTCTCCATAACAGTTCCTTGGAAAAACCGAACAATGTCTGACCTTCTTCTGTCTTCCGCTGACCGAATCAGTCCGGGAAGACTAGTGTTATGAGCAATGGGGTTCAGCGTTACCCAGTACAATGGAACTTTAGGATAGGGAAAAGACCCGTGTTGTAAAGTGGAGTAAACTTGCAGATAAAATTATTATCATAGACAGTCTTGTCAGCTCCAAAGTCCACGCACTCCTACCTTATGTTTGATACTGTTCATGATTCAGGGACTCCCGAGATAACATTGCAGGGAGCCGACAAAGTGGCCGAGGAACTATACAAACCTGTGCCCATGGGTACCATGTATGTCCCAATTGAAGCTATGTCAACCCCTTCAAGGCAAAAATGATTGTGTCCCTCCAGAAGCAATGCGGAAAAGGGTGTATATAGCACGTGACTATTCGCTAGATCGCTAAGCGAGCTTGTTGACAATACAGCCCACAGAACCTTTGAATTTGAATTTCTTCTCCAGATTCACCGACGAAGCCATGTCTCACAAAAGCCCAACGGACGCGGAGTTGGATCACAAGTTGACAGACAGTGATGAGAGGAGGATGAAGTTTGGGAGTGATTCCATCGAATACGATGATGAGAATGAGGAGCTGAGAGAGTATGAGGCGAAGATGCAGATGCAAGCCGAGTTGGCAGCGTCACTTCCTCTCCCGGAGAGCCACGATAGATCTATGGATAAAATATGATGATATCCCAGATGAAGACGCGTCGCTGGCGATGTCTGCATCTCCACCCGATCGCTATCGACAAGAGGCTACGGATAGAGACGTGCAAGCCGTCGCGGTAGCACTGTCAACACCGCAACCTTCGACTGAAGTTGATGATACGGAGATGGTAGTGGGTGAGCAAGCCGACGCGGCAGCGAGCCTTCACCCGTTTCCCAATCCTATACCTACAGTGCAGGGCTTCGGGACACCTGAGTCGATTCGACTCCCACCGGCTCGTGGGCCAGTGCAAGTTGAAAAGGGAGAGCCTGCTGCTGCCATCACCAAGAACAGGAGGAAGAGGATCTTCCAAAACGAAATCAAATCGGATGACCTGGTATGTGGTCATTGTGATGATAACAAGCATGGTGTCATAAACTGTGTGCGGAATCCAGATTTTGAGGGCTTCATTGACAGTTGTCCAATCTGCAACGATCATGCTCACGAGGTGATGGATTGTCCAACCGAACAGAGTTGTTCATGGAGTCTCTCATCTCCAAACTGGCAATAAGCAACACCCGACTGCGCACCAAGAAAGCCAGATTCACAAAAGCTGTTGAGGATGCATTGCATGACCGTTTTGGGGAGGATCTACCAAAGCATTTCAAGTTCATGAAGTTCCTTAAGCGTGCCGTGGCATCGATCAAGAAGCCCCGCGGCAGCTATGGTCCTGGTGTAGATGGTTTCATTGTAGGTGATCTCACTGCTATTTGCGACGCTTGGGATTCATACGCGACTGCGAAGGAGAATAAGAATCTGGCACTTAAGTCGATAGACACGACAGCAAAGGCGACCCGTAATTCTGGAGGAAGACCTTTACCTGGAGAACCTTCTCACGCTCAAGTTGCTCTCGGCATCAAGAAGGATTGGATTCTTCAATGTCGTCGACAGAAGCAAACGATGCGCAATCAGATAGCTCAAGAAAGTCTCGATAATGAGCATGACTCGCCAGTTGGAACAAGGGAGAGCTAGTCTCAACAAACAACGCGTAGTCGAAGAAGGCAAGATACTCCCAAATATGATGATGACCTCTTTAAGCAGACCGAAATCAACCAGAGACGCCTAGACAATCGGGGTTCAAAGAATAAGCCGCTAGCTCGGAACAGATCGACGCATTTATCTAGGATAGTGCACCTCTAAATGCTGATAGCAGGCAGGCAAGAAGTGTGGTGAATATTGACTCGGTTTCTAATCCGCCAGCTTCGGTTTCCGCGGCAGTGTCTGGGCATGCAACCGCTGGAGTCAAAGCAGTCAGATCAAATGCGACGGAATCATTAGCAACTGTTATTTCCCCAGGTAAGACTACGCTCCCATTCACATCGATATCCTACATCTGGCTGGTCAGATCACCACCCCTTTTAACTTTGAACGTCAGAGAATGTCGTCTAAGAAGATTTGTATTCAGACTAGGGGGATGGTAAGGGAACGATTCCACGATGAGTGTATCGCGTCCGAAGCTGCGACTGCTGCTTGGCTTGAGAAGAAGCCTATGCCAGTTGAGTGATGAGCGAGGGTTTTCGTTTGAAGGATGGGTGGGGTGTCGGAGTCAATATGAGGTTGTGCGAGGATACGCTGGGGTGGGATGATGAGAGATGCTGAAGAATTGTGGTATCCTGCTAGCAAGCGTTTACCTTTATTTTACCTTTATACAACTTAATTTTCATTCTCTGATACACTTTTAAGCATATTATACCGTGATTTTGCCATCTGCAATATAGTGAAACATTTTTGAAAGCAATCCCTAAACACTCCTTCCACGTTCAAATGAATTGCAAACAAATATGCCTCGATATCAATCTATAGGTCCCAAGTTTCTTGCCCAGGGTGAACGTAAGCGTTTTCCCATCCATTTATGAGCATCGTACTGACAGCATAATGTCTCATTCGCCGAGAACCCCTGAATTCTCACCACGCGATTTCTATCAACAATACAAGCCGCCCTTCCATCACGAAAGCAGACACCCAGAAGCTTGCCACCGCCATTGATATCCTAGCGAGCGAGATTGAGAAACTGCAGATCTGAAGACCCAGACAAAGGCATTTGGAGTCATCACAAAAGGCTTCCAGGCGCGGTGCTGGCAACGTGGCGATGCTTCCAATAAGCATTCGTATAAGCTGAAGAGAGAACGCTGTGACGAAAAGCCCTCGTCGACGAAGCCGCATACTACACACTGGTCATACGGGAGGAACACTTGAAGGCTTGAAACGCGTATGATATTGTATGAAATGCCACTGCCCAATTACACACTAATCAATGCTTCTTAAGCAGACGTCGTCAATCTGATTGGAGATACCAGGAGGAAACTGATTACCTACACCCGGAAGGAGCAAAGGCAGAACGTGCAACGAGCAACGAGCTGGATATATGTATGCTAGTGGATGTATAGGGAGGACATATACAGACGCGATAGGGGAGAAGGAAAGCCCGAGATGGAGGTGAGAAAGTCGTCGAAGATGGCTATGATTGACGCATATGAAAATGTTGTGGGGATTAGCTGGGTTAAATATCCTGCCATTTCATTCGTACTGTCCACAACTTCCCACGCGATGATACAACGAGATCTCTATGATAGCAGTCGAAGTTGTATTGGTGTTGTCATAGGCGGGAAATCATCAATACTGTTCATCATAATATGTATACATTTTAACAATCCGATGTTCAAGATGTCACTCCACTCCATTGATTGAGTCATGTAGTATGCTGAAACTGAAATACATTATCATCAATCGGTGACAGACACTGCCAGCGATCATAGGAGGAAGTTCCTAAAGCGTCAGAGACAATATTCGGTGCGATTCGCTTAACATCCATCCCAAAAAGTCAAGGCGCGTCTCCTCGCAACGCGTGCTCCTCCTCGACCTCGCACTTACAACTGCCACGATTACAAAATGGCAGACAATAATGACTCCATCTTGCCATTGCAAGAGGCAGATCATTCGATTGACGGAGTTCTCGAGACGCACAGTGCCAAAGCCACAGAGCTGTGGGGAATTCGGAGCCAGATACACGACTTGTCAGAAAATCTATTCGGCAGAGAAAGACTTGCCTTTGCAGAGGTAGAAAAGGTCCAGGCAGCTTGCAAGAAGACCAGCAAAGTCCTGAAGCAAGCCACGGAACGAGATGAACGTATAGCTGATTACAAACCAGTGCTCTCTACTCTAGATACGGCCGTCGCGGGCGTCCCTGTGGAAATCGAGCAAATCCTTGAGGCTGAGGTTGATTCACTACCCCAGGAGGTCGTAAGTCAAGCTCTTGCCATCATACTTGCTGCATCAAAGGACTTGAAGTCCATTCGTGACATCTCTCCAGGTGTTCGAGAAGCCTTGTTCAATCGGGAGTTGGAATTTGCCCAGGGCGAATACAAAAAACTCGAGCAGGTCAACCAGAATCTCCGCAGTCGAGTAGAAAATTTGGCCAGGCAAGTCTCTGATGGGTTGGAGAATTGTTCTCGCCTTCAAGGTCAGCACAGCACAGACATTAAAGGGATTCAAGAGAAACTTGAGCAGAGTACCGCGAAGGTCACTGCGCTTGATACTCAGCATAAGAGAGACGTCGCGGAGCTCAAGCAAAGTGCCGAGAAGGTTACTGCGCTTGATACTCAGCACGAGAGAGACGTCGCGGAGCTTAAGCAAAATGCCGAGAAGGTTCAGGAGCTCGAAAAGTCAAAGTCTGATTTGGAAATCCTCCAGGCCACCGTAGGCAGGAATGATGAGACTATCAAGTCCTTGCGAAGGATCTTTACTAGGTGCTTCATCGATTGTAAAGATGATGCCAACACTGGTCCTGGTCCTGTATGGGACGAGCTTGCTACCATCCTTCACGCGCCCAAGAAGGTCGAGATGGTTGGTGCCTCCCTGCAGAAACTTCGCATCTGGCGTATTCACGCACGTTTCGAATCGGAAGGGCTAGGAAATCTGACAGAAGGCGGCACATTGTTCCTTGCATGCCAGCTTTATGTGGTGATCGACTGCGGAGCTTTTACCGAGAAGATTACGATTGATCTAGTGGATGACCTCCTATGTAGAGTGGATACATGCCAAGATGACTATGTGATAACTTTGCTGGCACATTGTTGCCTCAAGTTCACAAAAGCAGCTTTGGTAAACTCTTCTGTTCATATCTTCTTAGCAATATCCATTTCTCAGCTTGCGAGGGTTTTGACAGATCGTTTCCCCCAGATTTGGAATCTGTGTGGGATTACGGAATCTCTGGTCAACCATGGCCTCAGTGAACAGATCCAAACTCACAGCGATTTCCTCGGGAGATTCCAGCAGTCATTCTTTAGGACCAGCGAGTCGCAGGAACTAATTGAACAACTCACAAAAGAGTTCAAGGATGATTTGGTTATTCATGATGCATTCTGTCTCATTTCCAACCCCGATTCCGATTGGATTTTGACTATCAATGATCAAACAATTTGTTTGGTGGCGAAATCGCTCGTGTGTCGAGAGTCAGGTAACTATGAAAGGTTGTGTTATTGGATCAAGGGACCTGCAGGGTGTAAATTCCAGGACATGGAGTTTTATGTCCCTGAGCCTTCACCGGCTGTGAACTGGTGGATGTGCTGTGTAGTACCCAAAATGAAGCTTGGGGACGATGCTATTGCACTTCTGAAGAGGATTGAAGATGGAGAGGACATTTGGGATGGGTTGTTAGACTATGTCTATGAAGCAAATGTTGATGGAGGTGGTGGAGGTTGAATCCGGTGTTATGCGTAGTGGGCCGAAGGGCTGAGGCAATATGGCTTTGATTATGATATGCACTTTCAATTCCACACTGCTTCCTAAACAACTTTGTGACATGATTCTCCATCGCAGCCCTCGTTGTCCATATCCTTTGAGCTTATGCAGAATCCCTCTGTTATTCCAAAATATTCGACATCAATATGATATCAGCCTTCATTGACCTTTGCCACCTCTTCTCATCGCCTCGAGGCTGCTCAATTGCCCCTTGCCTACTGTCCAACGCTGTTGCCAAAATATGCATTATTGTGTATTTGGGAAGCGAGATAGAATCGTTCGACATAGATTGTAGAGATAGATAATACGAAGTCAGCCTAGAAAGCGTGTTAGAAGTAACTTGCTGGATAAGGGAGGACATACTGAATGAAACGCGTATTCTGACGGATGGAGACTGCTTGTATGCTGAGGGCTGTTGACATATTATCTCTCACAAAGCTAACCTTGTCGTGAGGCTTCTTAGAAGGTCCCTCTAGTATCCTGTAGAGACGCAATTGGCCCTGTCCCCGTAAAAGAAATAGCTCCTATCTTTATGATAATCTCTATTACCTTCAGTATCCGATATATCAGGGATAAAAGGCCCAAGCATCATAACAATCGGGAACCTCCAGAAATCGTGGTATATACTCAGTCCCCCATTCTCCGCCAGGCTCGGCTGTAAATACAGCTTTACAGTATTCCCAGTAATCCGGATACCAACCCGATTGATGCCAATCAATGATAGCAATAATGCGACAGGGCTCATCTGTGGACACCATAATATTGCTTGGATGAAGATCAGCATGAGTAAAGGTAATTGGCGAGTCGTCTGGAAGTAAGTCCCGGAACGGATCAGGAATAAGTGAAGGGTCTGGCCAGTGGATTTCCTTCCCTTGTTTGGTCAGATAAGAGAGCCAGTCATGGAAGTCTTTAACCAAGGCAAATGGGCCGGCGGGAGGTTTTGTGTTATCCGTGAATACGATATCTAGGAGAGGTTGGCGGTTGATATGACCTCCAAAGCAATCAGTTTAGTGTTTTAACGGCGTTTTAAATAAGAAAAGAACTTACCAAGAAACTGATTCTTCGGATCCTGTTGCAAGTTACGCAGCTCTAATAATATGGCCCGAAGCTGCTCACAAACTTTTATCCTCTCTTGTTTTAAAAGCGACTCCCATCTGTTTTCCAACGTAACGCCCTTAACTAGCTCCATATAAATAAAAACTTCGCCCCCTTCTTCACACCAGCCATACACTTCAGGAATAGGTACTTGGGAAGGTAATAGCCGACGAATCGCCCAGAGATATTGCCCCTCCGCGATGGTAATCTCTTTTCCATATTTGACAAGAAGGTTTAGAGCCTCGAACCGAGCGGGTAGAGACTCTCCCTGGTGCTCAAAGCATTGATTGGTGCGGACCATGGCAGGCGAAGGCAGAGAGCTATCTGGTCCATTTTGTAAGAAATATGCAGATTCTTTGAACACGACCGATGAGCCTGACGGAAGCATCCCGACGGAAATTTTGTAAGGACTGTCGTCTGTACCCATCGTGTATAGTTGAAACGATACACAACTTTGACTGACAAGAGCTTCGATAGTTTAGTCCAGATATGACTTGAGAGTTGTATTATCAAGCCAAATTTCGTGTCAGGATAGGATTGATCTTTCAAAGGACCATAAAATTAGCGATAAGCCACTAGATATCATAATATATTACGTAATCAAGGCGGTAAACAATCACCCAAACTCCTTTGCCCAATTCATGTCTTCGCAGCATTGAAAATCCAAGAACTTCATGATATGGGCTTGAAAATTTTGTTCTTACTTACGTTCTATCCACCCATAAATCGTCTGGCTCCCTTACTCCCTGCTTTTACCCTTCCCAATTCTGCCTTACCGCAGCTCTAGGTCAAGTAGAACGATTTCCATAGTACTAAAGTCTCTTAATACGAATCTTGGAGTATGATAACAGAATGAAATATCAGCAGTCACGCGAGCAGTCAAGGAAAAGAAATTTCAAAGAGCTCTACCTGTGTGCAAATGATTGATGCAAAGGGGTCATCTAGGCAGGCGGTTGGGAGAAACTCGCTTATGCCCCTGAGTCTCCTGTGAAATTGAAAGCGCTCTGCGAAGATACTTGTATAAGGTGTATAAAATTTTATATGACCCTAGAAATGCTTCGAAAACATACAAAACTTGACGCCTGATTTTGTTGCCATATAGTCATTCGACTTTTTATCAATGGGAATTTCATGTCTTTTGTTATGAAACCATAGATCTAGTACCCCACCAACGAAAACGACTAGAAAAAAAGAGCAAAAAAAGAACAAAAAACATACAACAGCAGGTATTCGCTGGTGGTCACCCACCCAACTACTAATCTGCCGATCTGAGGCTTGTGTATGGCAGAGCGGACGGGATGCCCAATTCTCCTCAGTCTATGGTCGTATGTGCCAGCCTTTTACTAATCTACGGTTATATACTACACTTTAACGTAGATGATTTAGAGAAAACGTATTTCTGATTTCCAAACACCGACCGTTTCCTTTTCAAAAATCGATCTGGACCTTGGCCGCCTGAATTTTCAAGCCACATTGCCTGATTAAACTTTTGTTATGTACTCGTGTTATTCTTCTTATTAACTAGGAAGAAGTTGTGGCCACCTGGCCACCTTGTGGTCGTTGGAACTCCGGATGAGGAAGAGTCTTGTGGAAAACATGACCTCTACCTTGCAGGCGTTTTCGAAGCAAGTCAAGTGTGGCTAATGGCTCACCCCACGGATGCCAATGCCATCCAGCCCATGTCAGCGCGACAAAATATTGTCGTTCGGATCGTTCAAAATACTCATTTTGAGGCGGTCAAGGAGACCTAAAGTATCCTCGTTCCTCTGAAGAACTTAACTGGAACCTTGCCTGCCATTAACTCTACCGCTTCGCTAGTTGAGGATGTCGGCATGTTCGTCGGCGATGTTGTTCAGGCAGATATCTCTCTTGGAGTGATTGGTCCGAGCCTTACCACTGTTAACGACACTGTCAATGCCATCAAAGCCGCAAACCCCAAATATATTTCGACAAACTTCACAGTCCTTGATGACCCTGATATCAATGGTGGGGTTGCTATTATGTTCAATGGTACCTCTGGTCATGCGTCAGCAAACCACCTAGGCGCTCTAGACCTCTCTGTCGATGTATTTCAAGCACTGAACTCTTCCCCTGCTACTTATGAGTTCTATTTACCTGACAACACAACGTCATCAGAACTCGACTTTACAGTTGATGTTCGAACGCGGTACGGTAGCGACATTCAAGAGGTAGTGGGTTTCGTATTTGGTTTTATTCCTACCACTAATTTCACCGTCGATGTTATATATCCCGCTCTTGAGGTCGATCCTTACCTTGGCCCACTATTTGTAGACACGATCGCTCTGCCCCAATATGGAGCCCAGGACTGGCCCATTTCAAATTTTGCTCCTGCAGCAACCGACGCTTCCTGGGCTCAACTACCTGATGTTCTTGTGCAAGAAGGTGACCATAGCCTTCAAAGCTTTAGGAAAGCAACCCTCCACGCGAACTTTAACATTTGTGACCTCGAGTCGAGCTTGTGCCCTTTCAACCATGAGGCTCCCTTCAAACAACTTGCGGGGACTGATTTTGCTTATACCCAAACGGAGAAAGTTGGACGAGCAATTGCTCAACTTGCCTTGCAACTTCTAAACGATCCTGAGATGATGGCTGATGCCACCAAAGATATCCGAGCGGGCCCGATACTATTTTAATTTGTACGACCCTGAAGGGATCATGGCAATATGTGGTATCAAGATTATATACGTTACATATTCGTCCCAATAAGCCAAGCAATCAAATCAGAATCCTACATACATATTAGTACAGGCATTCCAAAGGCATCTTCAGCACTAGAGCCAAGTCTCGTAGACATATGGCGAAAGTACGAGAAATTTTTAATGAGACGAACCTTAGGCAGCTCAGGATAATCCATAGCAATCACCCCATACCTAGCATTAAAATCCCACTTAAACTTCTGCCTGACTGTACGATTCATGCCCTGCACAAAGTCTCCAATAATCTTGCTATGCGCCCCCACCGCGATCCAGTGAGACTCTGCAATTTCCCCTTTCTCTGCCGGGTCTCCTACAGCGCTCATGAAATTCAGAAACCAATGATCTGGATGACCACTTGCTGCTTTTTGCAGCATGTTGGAGACGAAGCTGAATTTGCTTGAGATGAGGTCCAAAAGCGGTATGATCTCGGAGTATTTCCACTTGTCTTGTAAGGTCACTGTGACGTTGTCTGCGGTCTGGAGTGTAAAGTCGGGGTTGTCATTGAGCCATCCACTTAGGTCTATGCCAATCAGTTCCGATGGGTCAATATCTGGATCAGCTGCATATCGTCGGAGTAGCACGGCTTTTCCACGAGCCTCTCCTAGGGAGGTTGTAGTTCGTTTGGTAATCCATCGAGGTTGGCCGTTCTGATACCTTGGCGTCTTGTCGATATAACTTTTTACAGCATTGTAAAAGACTGATGGCAGTTCTTTCCCAGATGTATCGTCATTGTTGATAGAGACGAGGACCGTCTCGGTAGGATCTGATTTGCTCCTCTCGAAGAAGTCAAATACCTCATTCATAACTGTATCAAATGACAAATACATCGGTAAGTTGATCGGAATGCCCCCATGGTACATGTAGAGGTCTCCAGCGGAGTCAACCCGGCAGCGTAGATCCAGAAAGCGAAGCCCAGCCTCCATTTGCTTGGTGATGGACAAATACTGAGTTCTGACAAATGGAATATTGGATTCCGCACAGCTATCGTGTGTACCAGGAATTGTCAAAGCACTCAAAGGCGTTCCGTCCGCAAGGCCGCCCATCCACGAACTCAATGAATAGTCAAGAAGCGACCTTGAATACCACCTAATATCTTTACTTTCGTCGTTGGCATTGAATATGCAATTAATCCTTCCATTCAGGACGGAAAGCTGAGGGGGACTAGCGGATGCTTGACCCGCTACTGCTTGTTGCGAGCTCCATCGGCCATCCTTAAACTCACTGATGAATATCAGATGAGAAGTATCGTCTGGTCCATCTTCTTGGAAAGCGAGAAACGCACTATCACCATAGGATGTAGCCGAGACCCCAGATGCAGCTTTCCCTTCACTCACATCATCGCAAGAGTTCCAGATATCCTCGGTAGAGGAATAGGAAAACCCCAAGATCTTCCTGGTACTGTCATGCGAGGCGCAGAGGACATGCAAAACGTCTTTTAAGACAAATAGTGCGGGGATCCCTCCAACCTGATTAATGCCACTTACTTCCTGCGGCGGTGACCAGACTGATGTGTCATCCTGAGGGTTCACAGACCATATCGAATAGTACAAATTCGTATCCTGAATAAATACCAAAACCAGCTTATTATGAAAAGCGACCAGCGCTGGAGTAGTATGCGAAGAGAATCCGGCCCGGCTATCAAGCAGAGCAGGGACTGTCCATTGCCGATCCAGATCATCGTATACATAGTGCGCCAAGTCATTCGAGTCCCGGATGATGATGATTGCGTGTAGCGTTCCTAGGAGCTCGGCAAGGACGGGGATACCGTGGTCGGGAAATTGAAGACGGGGTTGGAAGGAGCTATTGTCTCCAATTGCGTAGTAGAGGTCTCCCAATGGATCACTCCAGAGACACCAGAGTTCGCCTCGGTGGGTGGCGAGCGCTGGAACGGAGGGCGTTTGGCCTTCTGGGGAGTTCTGGACGTATCCGTCTGGTCCTCGCGCGATCCAGGCCATGTCGAACAGAGATGTATAGTTCTCCTTGCTGAATCACCCTCGGTGATAAGTTGTATGATTCTGCTGCATTTCCCCGCGTCACACCTTTAAAACAGAGGCTTTGAGACTCGTCAGCAGGGTTCAATTAGGTTCGCTTAGAAGCAAGTCTACCTAGGTAGTCAGAGATCGAAACAGCCATACGAATACGCAGTAAACGCTTCTGAGTACTCTAGTAGTCTTTGTAGATATTGATTTGAATATGAGTACTTAGCCATTTCCTTGCATTTAAAACGCCTCGCATGTTTTACAATGAATCCACATCACGTGACTATAATTATGAGATAAACCTCCCACTCTTGCTAAGTACTTGTGCATATACAAATCAAACTTACTAGGAAGCGATAATTTGAAAATCAGACCTAGCCACTTATGCCAGATCTATCCACGTTCTTGGATTTCACAGTTCAATTGCATTTCTCGATCATAACGCATATTTTAGATTATTTACCGTCTCCTCTAGTAGAAAAACTCAACAAACATGGTCACGCATTTGAGAACACCTCTTATGCTTCTATGACAAGCTATACATTACAGGCAAGCTGAGCAAGAGCCCTGAGCCAAAATTAAAAGAAAATTCACTCATAACATTTGCGGTGTAAATATGTGCTTTTTTGACATCTTATTCCAGTATGTATTTTAAACTTTCTAACCTAGCCCTACAACGTCTCACCCTCTAACTCTTGCCAAACTCCCCAAAATAGTGAATACGCTTAAGCAAAGCCGCGGCATATTTCCTTCTGCCGTTTGTCTAGATGAGACATCCACCGGTGTTGACAACATCCTACATGGCATTAGCTACAATCCGTTTCATAACAAACAGTTTACTTTACATTCTGATTGATACAGGTGTTCGCATACGTTCCCTTAGCAGCGCAGCATGGTGCGTCAGATTCGCAGTCGGTGGAGATGGTGCAAGCCTGGTTGACAGCAAGGCCTGTGTTGGCGAACAGGAGGGCGAGGAAGACGGAGGTGAATTGAGTGAATTGCATTTTGTAGGTGGAGGTGGTGTTTGAAGTTGCAGTTGGTGAAAGTGGATTTTGTTGGATAGATGTAGAGAGGTTGATTGTTGAATTATGAGAGAAGGAAGCAATGTCTGTTATATATATACTCGAGTACAAGATTTGGATTTGATAATTGCTTCAAAGTTGATGATCACCACTCGCAATGTTGATCCTGATTAGGCTTGGGATATATATATCATCTTACGCAAAACTTTCGAGGAATATACTACGAAGCTTCGAATACCTTGCGTGTTTTGGACAAGCGTGCGTCATCAAATACTAGACAAGCAAGGTGAAGGATTGCCTAGAGTACCTTTCTACTAAGGATCGGGTATTAGATCAAATTTGCCCCAAGAATTAATGATCTTCAATCAAAGATTAAAGAAGTATTAATACTCCAAGGCTAGCCCTAGTGGCATATAGCTTTAGCCAAGCCGGAACTTCCGACGTGTAGGATTTGCATTATTATTCTAATAGCCCGTCATACACTACAGGAGTTGAGTTTCGATTACTAGCTTTGAAGAGCAAATATCTTCTTCATTGAATTAAGAAGTAGAAAAACCATTCAATTCATTCCGCCACGCGGTATGTCCACGCCATTACTCGTAAAGAATGTGGAGAAATAAAGTTGCATATGGTAGGAGCGGAGGAGCCAGATAGTTAAGTATGAACCCGCATTACACAATGGAACTTCCCCAATCTTGACCTAAATTTAGAAGAATAGAGTTTCTTACTTAATTAGGAAGAATTCGCCGTGCGCACCGTGCTGGTACCGTTAGTATCATGTTTTGATAGATAAACAGCGGCTTCACGGTACATCTAAATCCTTCGTTTGTAGATCTTCTCAGTTTATATATTATTGTGGGGGAGAATCCGACTAATAATCGGTAGCTCACCTAGGTAGTGGAATCCTGCTCTACGTCCGGGAAAAAGTATGCGAAATGAAATCACATGTGTGCACTAAAAGTCACTAAAAAGTTGCTTATGCACGCTTTTTCATTCCGCACACTTTGTCTTGGATGTGGAGTACTGTTTGCGTGAAATCAAGCTAGAGGAATCTTGTCAACTGCAAGCAAGTAACTTACTTTCAGCGGGGAATGTCTAAACCTTCGTCACAGATGGAAATGCTTCATCGCAAAGCAGACCAGTGAATTGAGCTCTCTTTTACCCGGCTGTTCAGAACAAAATCCTCGCAAGGTTATCAATCTTTTAGTTTACTGTTCTAAGTGTGATTAGATATTATATTTGCTGAATGTTGAGACCATTAAGTGATACAACTTAGAAACTAAGAAAAATACCCATAACAAGTGACAAACCTGGCCGTGCAGCTTTTCAACATTGGCGGAGATGCATCAGCTTGTTGGCGGCTGGGGTTTGGTATGAAAAAAGGGAAACTTTTTGATCTGAAGGCTGTATATGCTGTAATTCAAGACAAGACATCCATGGCAAAGGTGGAATCTCTCCTTTAAGATTGGACCTAGTAGGCAAAGTACATGTCGGTTTTCATTCAAGACTATCAGGAGTCTATGCCAATTGAATTCATAAAGTAAATAGTCGGTGGACGGATGATGATTCAAGTTGTGATCAATCGAATCTCCTTGTTGCTCTCGAAAGCGGTGAACTGGGAACGACAACCTCATCAACGGGGAGAACAGCACAATCCCCAAGCGAAGCGCTCAGCGCACCTATATTGATATATCAAATTTAAAATATATCGATCTGTTTCCTTCGACACCGACAACACAGCGAAGACATCAAGATGGCACATCCACTGCCATGGAAACCACCAGTTTGGTGGTACCATGATAACCACGCTGAGCTGCGCCGTCAGGCAACTGACCCTACGACGGAGAATTCGATCACTGCGGCGAAGTTTGATGCCGAGTATCAACGATATCTCGAGATCGCGCAGAGGGAGTATCCCCGTCAGCGGTACTATCAACAGTGGTATGCCGAGGCGGGGACTTTCTTCACGTTCTGTAAGTCAACCAACTAATATATACTTAAGTGTTCTAACATATAGTAGGGGGGCGACCATATCCCAATGGCTGCCCGCTAATGATAGAAGACAAATTTCGCGCCATAGACGATGCCATGGAAGCGGAGGAAGCACGCCTAGCTCTTTTCGCACCTGGCACACCATTGTTCACGTTGACGGCTTCTGGTAGCCTCAAGCTGACCCGTGATATCGAACAGGAAGAGGGGAAGGTGGTGGTAGACTCCGGGTTGGAATCTGCTGCTGGCTCATCTGGCACGAAGAAGGCTGAAGCGAAGGTGGCATCAGACTCTGAAGCGGAATATGATGCTATCCCGAACCTCAAGAAAGAGACGACACCAGCAGAGGAAAGGATGGTATTAGACTTCGAAGCGATATCTGCTGCTGTCCCAACCAATACCAAGGAGGCGCAACCCGCTAAGGGAACGGTGAAGAAGGAATCCTAGTGGAACCTCGCGTTGTCCCAACTCCCAAGAAAACCGTATCTATAAGAAAGGACAATCGCGAAGGCGGCTACTCTTATCAAGATGATCATCGATCTAGGAACGATCATACATCAAGATACGAAGGCAGTTTCTCTCGTCAAGATGACTATCGTTCTAGGGATGATAGTTACTCGGGAGGATATGATCGAAGTGGACGCTTTGAAGGGAATAGAGATAGTGGGCCACTTATGGAGGAACTTCTCGACGCTGTTCGGAAGATCGATGCAGCAGATAGAGGGTTCGAGTATGGAAATTCGCTATCCCAACGGGAGCCGCCATTACCACCCGTTCGAGAGCGCCGACAGAGTCCTGATGGAGGCCGAAGCGGCCCGAATTATCACCCTGGTAATCGCAACCAATCTCGTAAACTGGGAGTCTCAGAGACCGCCCGCACTTGAGCGTGAACGCCGCAGCAGATCCAGAGACCGAAGAAGCCAAAGCCCGGCACGCAGCAAAGAGCCGCCTGTTCGTGGTGATCAGCCTCAAACCGGAGAAGGACAGAAGGGGAAGGGGAAGAGGAACAGAGGAGGGGGGAGGTAGAGGTGGAATAGGAGAAGGTCCAGGACCTGACCCGAATTAGAATCACCCATTGAATGAGGTGGTGTGAGTGGGTTGTTTGTGGAGGGGCTATCGAGTGTTGCGGAGGGTACTCGGCTTGTGAGAGCACTCTATAGCAAATGAAGTGTCTTTTGAGAGGGAATCAACGTTCAATAAGTGAAACAAGTGCAAGTATGCCTCTAATGTCTCACGCTCCACTTACTCCGTAGTATTTGCATTCCTTTTTACATATATCTCGAATGTTATCCACCGTCTCTAAACCAAACTAGCCGAATCTACAAGCTTTTCGAGCTTTCGAATAATTGTAGCCACCAAACAAGTCTCTTTTAGGCTATCCAGGCAGGCAGGGTATTGCTACTGTGCTCTCTGGTACCGAACCGTTTGGCTCCCAAGATAGTATCCTCCTCTTTCCAGATCTCACACTGCCTGATCCAGTATTATCATCAATCCGACCGTCGAGACCATGGGAATGTTTCTTCTGAGGTGTATCAGGTGGAGGAGGCCTGGGCTCGGCATATTGTGAATTGGCTTTGGAAGTACTAACAGGTATCTGTAAGTCTTCGGCGTCTTTTCTGCGTTCACGTTTCGCCTGTGAGCTCGAGCTTCCTGGTGGGACTTTTAGCGAAGGCCGTGGAATTATATGTGACGAAGCACTATGTTGCGGACTCGGTTCTGGAACGTCCCCCTCTTCATCGAGCTTAAAACTCTCCGCAAGGCTTTTGGAAATCTCCTGCGGTGTGAAGAGTGCCTCACAGGTCTTAGGATATGACTCAAAAGCCTCAGCCTTCCCAGTCCTCGCTTTCATTTTAGCCGAAGACCAGACGCAGATCCAGTACTTTGTCTCAAGTTCCGTGAATTTCATTCGAAAAGTATATCTCAACACTCTGAACTGCTTATTCTTCGGTCCTTCGAGATCTAGGT